AATACACAATAAATAGGATGATGATGATGATGATGATGATGATGATGATGATGATGATGATGATGATGACAACTATGTTTACCGAAAAAATACAAATACAATAATATGATGATGATGACGAGTTACATTTAGAATAAGATATGATGATGATGATGATGATGATGATGATGATGATGATGATGATGAAAAGATGATGATGAATGATGATGATGATGATGACGATGATGCGAAAGAAAAGACTAAAGGTTACCGATTACAAAGAAAAGATGATGATGATGATGATGATGATGATGATGATGATGATGATGATGATGATGATGACGACGACAACTATGTTTACCGAAAAGAAATACACAATAGGATGATGATGATGATGATGACGACGACAACTATGTTTACCGAAAAGAAATACACAATAGGATGATGATGATGATGATGATGATGATGATGATGATGATGATGATGAATATGATGATGATGATGATGATGATGATGATGATGACGACGACGACAACTATGTTTACCGAAAAGAAATACACAATAGGAGTTACAAAGAATAAGAGATGCTGCTGATGCTGATTGATCTGAGACATTTTCATTGTGGTCAGAGTGTCATGTCTGTTATTCACGGTCATGTATCAGAGTTACTCCCGAGGATTGCCTGGAGGAAGTACACATCATCTGTACATCACGGAACATCCCCGAAATGTGGGTCAAATTCACACGCAGATGCAGATAAAATGACGGTGACTAAAATCTATACTGAGGAGCAAAAAACCTAAACATCTCTGTTGATTTTATTTTGTTTTTGATTTTCAGCTGATAATATCAAACGTTAGCGATGTTATACATGAACTGTAGTATCACTTTGACAGTAATCAAAGAACGATTTGTCGTGGGTTTTAAAAATATAAATTAGTTTGAATATTAAATACATCCAGATGTGTTTTGTAGACATATCTTTGAAAATAAGAAACTTAGCCTTTTTCGGCTCAACTTTACAACATTTCAGACATGACAGTGGTCATGGGATAGCAAATTAGTTTCCTACCCCAGCATTCACTGAAACAGAGATACACGTCAAGCAGTCTACCTTTCACTGAACCGGTTTTGAAAGAATGGCATGATCATGACAATTTCTATTAATGCAAGTTTATTAACGCAGGTAAGAAAACAAAATCAGACACAATTACAAGAATACAATAGCTGGACTAATACTTCGTCAACTGCAATTATTTTCGATTCTAAAAAAAATGTATTGCAGTGAACAAAAATAGATTATATATAAAAAAAATAATACCTAAACATTGCATAATATAGGCTAATGTTATCACTATTGTGTTCACGTCAGATTCATTAGGCCAACATGCTAATCGTTTCTGAGTCTGTTTTTAAATATTATTTCTTCCTCTTTATCATATCCCTGACAGCTCGACGGAAGTTGACGCTGCAGAAGCTGTAAATGATGGGGTTGGAGGCGCTGTTGATGAAGTAGGATCTCTGACAGATGTTGTATGCGGCAATCTGGGCTCCTTGGAGATTGTCGTACAGGTGCTTGTTGATAACGGTGGCCGCCATGATGCCAAGATGAGGCAGGAAGCTGAGAATGAAAACGAGGCTGATGAGGAATAGCATTAATGTTGTCTTCCGGACTTGTATCTCACGTTGTGACCTTGGCGTGTCCTTGACCTTCACTGTGTCTTTGTCGACAGACTGAGATGGCTGTTGTGCATCTTCAAGATTTGTCTGTCTTTGGACTGTTGTAGCACTGTCGTTCCCAGGAAAGGTCGAATCCTGTGATTTGCTGACATTGGAGATACTCTTACCCTGTTCGCTGTCATTTGAGGACGAAATATATAGATCTCCCGTTGACATTGACGTGTCCTCGTTCTCTTTGCTGCGGGCAACGTGAACCTCAAAGGTTCGTCCAGTATTGGCGCTCGTGGTTACCGTGCTCAGGTATTTGTGCTGCCTTGATATCTGACGCCATATTAATAAATACAGCACGACGATAGTCACTGTGGCAACGACAAACTCGAGAAACTGGACTCCGTTGTAAACGACAGCGAACACGCTCCCTTCAAAGGATTCCGATACGCCACATTCGGAGCCGTTAACGTCCCCGCCAAGCACGACCGTCCTTGGCCCAAATAGAAACACACTCGGCGCGGAGATACCGGCAGCCAATACAAAACAAAGCAGAATGGCCAACTTTGCTGTCGATTTCGTCAACTGTTTGCGAAACGCATGACACACCTTCCGATACCTGTCCACTGCAACGGCTAGCAAAACAGTTCCAGAGGCAAGAGATACAAAGGTCACGGTCAATGGCATGATCTTGCAGACGACCGAAGATCCGAGGGTAAAGTTGTGTCTGAGGTCGACGATTTCAAAGGGGATGTTTGTGATGCAGTTTAAGAGATCCAGCACTGCCAATGCCACGACGAAGTATGATGTGGTTGTGACACTTTGAAACTTAAAGAGATAGACATAGCAGACGATGGAGTTGCCGACAAAGCCCAGTAGCATCAGTATGACGAGGTACAAGATGGCGGGTAAAGTTTGGATGGCGTAGGCGTTGTCATGACGACGTAGGTAATCCGCAATGTCGTTTTCTGATAAGTTGAGGGACATTGCTCAAACCGTCTGGAACAAGAATCATTATTCGTTTAATTCACATGCAATAGAATTGGACAAACGCTTCTGGAGCTTACTCGATGCTTTCCTTTGAACAGAACGAGCAGAATAATTCGGATTTAAATATCGCGTCTCTTTCAGTAGTTTCATTACTCTCTAAAGAATCTGATTGATCTGTAATCGCCCTGTGAAAACATACAGATCGAGGGGCGGTGGGGTAGCCTTGTGGTTAAAGCGTCCGTTCGCCACGCCGAAGACATGGGTTCGATTCCCCACATGAGTACAATGTGTGACGCCCATTTCTGTGTTCCCCGCCGTGATGTTGCTGAAATATTGCTAAAAGCGGCGTAAATCTAAACTCACTCACTCACATACAGGCCGGGTGGCAAGTCACTTGCTTGTCACGTCACAATTTACCAGCTTATTTACATTACTCTGAACATGATCCCCTTTTGCGGTTACGGAAAGTGGCGATGGTGGCCGAAAGTTACCGCAATGAATGTCCGACGACAAACGGCAAATCCAATTGCCATACGGGGGAATTGCCTACGTATATCTTTCAAAAAACGTTTGTCAGTTGACGGCACAATTTGGTACATTATCCAAAGGAATGGAATATGACGAAAATCTGATCATAATTATTGCAAATATATAATCTGAGTTCACATACATAAGATCCTGACATTCCCAAGGGAGGCAAATCTCAATAGTAAATGGAGGTAATTTTCTATATTTTATTGCCCGTCCTCCAACACACATAGAAGGCTGCAATATTATTTTCTATTATACAGGTTAGGTTGGTTAGGGCGCTTCAAAACACGTTATGGCATTGTCCTAAAAAAAGTTGGATGACATCAAGCATTTTCCAAGATTGGCTAGTGAAGTTGGACGAAAATATGCACCGGAAGCGGCGACGAATTGTGCTTATTGTTGACAACTGTCCAGCCCATCCTGATGTAGACAATCTGAAGGCCATCAGACCTGTGTTTTTGCCTCCGAACACAACATCCAAGACTCAGCCGATGGACCAAGGCGTCATCAACAACTTAAAGGTCCACTACAGAAAGCAGCTGATGACCAAGTTCATCAAGGCCATTGACAAGGAGGAGTCTGTAAGCATAACAGTCCTTGATGCCATGCAACATCTACGACAGGCTTGGGACTGCGTCCAACCCCAGACAATCAACAAGTGCTACTTGCATGCAGGCTTCAAGATCTCAGACCAGACCAACACCCAAGACGATGATGACAGCGACCCTGAGGATGATGTGCCCCTTGCCACCCCAGTTGTCAACAACATCACTCTCGCGCAGTATGCCAGTATGGATGATGACTTAGTAACCAGCTGCCCTGCCAGTGAGCAAGACATCGTCCAGAACATTATTGATTCCAGGACCAGGACCCAGCTTCTCAGTGACGACGAAGATGAAGACGAAGTGCCCCCTCCTCTACCACCTACTCTTGATGCCACAACAGCAGCCCTAGAAATCGTCGGGCGTTATGTGATATCACAAGACGATGGAGACAGTGTAATGACAGGATACAACATGGTGGCCAACTTTGTAACAGAGAAGGAAATGAAGAAATGTTTCACAAAGAGACAATCCCTCATGACATCTTTTGTGGAGTAAAAAGTTAGACTGTTAGGCTAAAATATTTTGTTTCATTATGTTTGATTTTTATTACTTTGTATTATAAATGTATTACTTAACGCAATGAAATGTTAGGGAATAAAACATGTCATATTACTTACAAATGTTGTCTGTTCTTCTGCTGAATACATATACAAGTACATTGTACATGCATATGGTTGTCACTTCCGGGTTTTGATAAGTTCGGATAAGTGAAATACCTGATAAGTAAACAATTTTGGCGAGTCCCTTGAAATTTTACTTATCAGGTTTATACTGTAATTATAAGTCCTATTGTTTGTAAGAGGCGTCTAACGGGGCGGTGGGCAAGCCTAGTGGTTAAAGCGTTGTCTCGTCACGGGTTCGATTCCCCACACGGGTACAATGTGAAGCCCATTTCTAGTGCCCCCACGGTGATATTGGTGGCATATTGTTAAAAGCGGCGTACAATCATACTCACTCACTCACTATTTGCCGCATCACTTAGGGTGTCTCCACATAAAAGGAACAGGCACAATCAGCAAATTTCATTCTTGTCCCTCACTCACTTTGTCTCAGTTTTCAGAGAACGTAAAAAAAACTAACTCGGGTAATTCTTGCCAGGAATGAAAAACGTTAAAATAAATACAGACAGAAATGCAATTTAGTCAAGGATACATTATTACAGGAAAACGCAAGTATTTCACTTACTTGTGATAGTCGCTCTGTCCCTGCTGTGTGTCTCCAAGCCACGTGTGATCACGTGTCACAGGATGTCTAGTGCCATGGTAACCAGGATATGGATTAAGTGTCACAACCTTGGTGTTTTGGTGAAACAGTACGAAACAATGAATGAAACACGGGCGGAACTGACTCCTTGCAGAACAACGAATTGTCATTCAGTGATGTGCTTCGACTCCGCGAAGTTATAGTTCTCGGAGAAACTGACGAAGAGACGGATGCACGTTTTGCTTGTAACATCTGCGTCGATGGCCATCCGTATCTTATTTAACAAAATTGGCTTGTTTCATAAATTATATGTGTATGACAAATTGTCTGATTTTAAATTTGGTGTTAAGATGTTTGGGGGGAAGATGTTTTCCTTCTCAACCTCAACCGGCAAGGTGTGGGCGGGCGAAAATAATTCAAATATTTAAAGTGAGTTCACTTTAACAGAGACGGTGCTCATGATGTCAATCACTTGATTGTCTGGTCCGAATTAAGGACCATCGATCCATATGTTATTTCTTACATATTTATGCCTATACGCTGTGCAAAGATGTCAGACACTCTACAAAGCAAAATTGTATGATTGTTACAACATACTGTCACTTTAGGACACTTGTGCAAATTAGGTATGGTGGAAAACATTAAATCTTTTGCATCTTTTAAACATTGACAATTAAAAGGTATTCATCTTCAACTACTGATATGCCTTTGCTCAGGGAGACTATATAAGAGTTGTAGAGTATCCCTGCTTTGCTATAGCAAAGTGTATTACAGTGTATTATGCCTCCCTGTTACAGTTGGAGGTTGGAAGCTATTATATCTGGACTAGCTTAAAAAATGTAAATTTATTCTGTAATGTGGGCCATGGCCTTATATACTGAAATAAAAACTGTCTGTCTGTCTGTCGATCGTCATATAGGTTGAATACTGAATGCACATTTATACATGAAATTACCACGGATAACACACACACACGCGCGCACGCACGCACCAAAAGAGAGACAGATAACTTTCTGGGAGTATAGTTTAATTATACATACCGCAGAGATATTCACAACAGAATGAGTGAGTTTAGTTTTAAGCCGCTTTCAGCAATATTCCAGCTATTAAAAAGATCGAGCATGTTGATGACAAGGAGGCTTACAGCCTGTACATTATGTAACTATACAACAACAGTACCAAGTACTACAAGACTCATGAAGTGTTCAGTGTGACCAGCACGCTGTAGCCCTGTAGTTTTACCCCGCTGTTTTGCAATATTCCAGGGATTTTACGGCGGGGATACCAGAAATGGGCTTCACACATTGTACCCATGTAGAGAATTGAACCCGGGTATTCGGCGTGACGAACGAATGCCTTAACAAGACTTAGTAGGCTCGTAGGAACTCAAGTATGTGAAACTTTACACTGGTTTGCAACTTCGGATCGAATAGAGTCAGGTTGGGGTAGCTTACAGATGTGACAGGGATCGTTCCTTTATCTGACGGGGCGGTGGGGTAGCCTAGCGGTTAAAGCATTCGCTCGTCACGCCGAAGACCCGGGTTCGATTCCCCATATGGGTACAATGTGTGAAGCCCATCTCTGGTGTCCCCCGCCGTGATGTTGCTGGAATATTGCTAAAAGTGGCGTAGAACCATACTCACTCACTCACTCCTTTATCTGGCAGTATAGTCTAAATTATACATGCAGCAGAGAGTGATGAGTACACAGTGCCATTTAGAAAGTGGTCAAATGTACTGGCAAACAAGGATAAGTTGAGCACCGACCTGACAATTGACCCGTATTAGCATGTATGAGTGTCGCCCACTGGCGCTTGCCATTGTTAGCGAAGGGGCCCCAGGGTTACCCCCTGGAACCCTGCACTGCAGGGATCCAGTGATAGTGACTCTGTACAGCGAGCGCGCCAGTGATAGTGACTCTGTACAGCGAGCGCGCCAGTGATAGTGATTCTGTACAGCGAGCGCGCCAGTGATACATACTGTAGTGATCGCATTTTCGAGAATATTTGCAGCAATTGTATATAAATTGGAGCTCTGAAGTTACATATGGGTGATACACAGTGATTGCTTTGGACTGATGTCAAGCTGAATATTTGGTCCTGTCATATTTGTCCTTACTTTAACACATTGCTGACGCATATGTTTGCAGCCATGTGGTTTACTGGTCGGTGACAATAAAGTCTTATTTGATAATTTTTGTAAATACCGGGAACCATATTGACCAAATTATCACTGAATCTCGAACATTTGGCTTCACAAAACATATTGTCTAAATTTCGGAGCCTTTCACTCACTCTGTAAAAAGTTAAATCAAACTGTACATACTTCGCAGTGGTCGTAATCTGTACAGAACAGTGATCGTGATCAGTACAGAACAGTGGTCGTGATCAGTACAGAACAGTGGTCGTGATCAGTACAGAACAGTGGTCGTGATCAGTACAGAACAGTGGTCGTGATCAGTACAGAACAGTGGTCGTGATCAGTACAGAACAGTGGTCGTGATCAGTACAGAACAGTGGTCGTGATCAGTACAGAACAGTGGTCGTGATCAGTACAGAACAGTGGTCGTGATCAGTACAGAACAGTGGTCGATCAGTACAGAACAGTGATCGTGATCAGTACAGAACAGTGATCGTGATCAGTACAGAACAGTGATCGTGATCAGTACAGAACAGTGGTCGTGATCAGTACAGAACAGTGGTCGTGATCAGTACAGAACAGTGATCGTGATCAGTACAGAACAGTGGTCGTGATCAGTACAGAACAGTGGTCGTGATCAGTACAGAACAGTGATCGTGATCAGTACAGAACAGTGGTCGTGATCAGTACAGAACAGTGGTCGTGATCAGTACAGAACAGTGATCGTGATCAGTACAGAACAGTGGTCGTGATCAGTACAGAACAGTGATCGTGATTTTAAGAAACTTGCAAAGACAGTGACTTTCTGTACGAAATTCATTATATTTGTAATAAAGTACCAAACTAGTTGATTAACTGAATTTCAAAAGAGCAATTGTTATCAATTTCAGATCAGGTATCATGGAGGATTGTCCTGTAATGGGCACTTGCAAGGAAACTGCAGGCCATTGTATTCAGTTCCACAAAAACACCAAAATTAAGATGCTGAACGTAAAATATAACGAAAGTAAAGCCAGATACCAATATATTCCAACCCTGTTTGACATTGTGCCACATAAACTAGAAGAATCTAAGATGACAATAAGTATTTGCAATCCGTCAAAATTACTATTGAAGGTTCCTTTTAAAAACTTCTAGTCCCATGAAATAATGGTGAAAACGGGTGATGGGGATGAGAGACCATTGAAATATCTGTTTTAGGTACCACGGGTAAATGTGGTGCAAAGAGTCAACATGATGCCACTGTCCGGTTTTTTTTACGTCACTCGTACCTTCGGTCGTATTATTATTCTAAGCATGGACTCAAGCTGGATTTACACCATTCCTTCACTCGTACCTTCGGTCGTATTATTACTCTAAGCATGGACTCAAGCTGGATTTACACCATTCCTTCACTCGTACCTTCGGTCGTATTATTATTCTAAGCATGGACCCAAGCTGGATTTACAACATTCCTTCTGCTAGTAGCAATTTTAGACAATCTAGCTATAAATTGAACTGAAGGAGTAAAAGTTTAACGTCACCTCGGCAATATTTCAGCCATATTGTGACGAGAAAGGTTTTGCATGGACAATGAATGAAGGGTGTTAAACATCCACTCATGAAAGAACTGTAAAATAACTAGAGTATCATAGTTGGTGTTAACAAGTAGCATGTAAATCGAAAACTATTTCACTTCTGAAGACAATACAATATAAAAACAGGCCGTATTCCGCTACATCACCACAGAAGGGACCATGGGGACTCAATCCTTTTGCTACCTGCATGGACCATAGCTTACATAGTATCTTCAGATGTGGGCGAATATGACAGATATAGCCAAATATGAAACGACACATATTGTACGAATAGAAATGTGCTAGATATAATATACTTTGAAAGAATGTATCCTCTCAGGAGGACAATATTTGTACGGTACTTCAAACTCCTTTGAGGACAATTCAATATCTGTGATATTCTGGTTGTTTTTAATGTAGTTCGTCAACAGGTTTTTATATTCTAGGTTTATGTGTCATGAATGTATCACTTATTTTATCACTATATGACAGAAATACTGCCGATATGACAAGAACTCTTAACTCACTCGTTTTCGTCCTCTTTAGTGGTAGCCAGCCCGTTCGGAAATATCAACTTTCTGTTGATGCAAAATTGGTCAAACCAGTAACAATTCTAGCAGCATCCAACTGTATTCATTCAAATATATTTTCACTGGAGGCAGAACAATTGTTCCACACGTCACAGGTAATCCCCACACAAACAGAAATTCGTTTTACTTGTGAGACGCAAGTGTTTCAATTATACATAAATCTTTATATGAGATCGAGCTCTATGCTGAGCAAAATCTTCACTAAAATCACCAAGTCGAACAAGACATGGCGTATAATCTAGTGCAGTTTCACAGTGAATATTCTTCTTGATCCCAGTATAACACCGGGTGTTAGGTGGCCTGTACGTTCTTCTTGATCCCAGTATAACACAAGGGTGTTAGGTGGCCTGTACGTTCTTCTTGATCCCAGTATAACACAAGGGTGTTAGGTGGCCTGTACGTTCTTCTTGATCCCAGTATAACACAAGGGTGTTAGGTGGCCTGTACGTTCTTCTTGATCCCAGTATAACACAAGGGTGTTAGGTGGCCTGTACGTTCTTCTTGATCCCAGTATAACACAAGGGTGTTAGGTGGCCTGTACGTTCTTCTTGATCCCAGTATAACACAAGGGGTGTTAGGTGGCCTGTACGTTCTTCTTGATCCCAGTATAACACAAGGGTGTTAGGTGGCCTGTACGTTCTTCTTGATCCCAGTATAACACAAGGGTGTTAGGTGGCCTGTACGTTCTTCTTGATCCCAGTATAACACAAGGGTGTTAGGTGGCCTGTACGTTCTTCTTG